TGCCGGGATCTACCATGGGTCGGCTGCGTGCAAGGCAAGTGCCCTCCCCACTGTACCGTTGCTCCGGCCCAAGGCTGTTGTCTTGTTACGTTCAGGCTATCTGCAGCTGTCTGGAGACTTCTGTGGGGTGAACACAACTCTGCAGGGGCTGATGTGATGCCAGCCACCACACTGGTCCCCTCCAGGAGGGTCCCCCAGCACTGAGCCAGAGTAACCCTGAACACCTGCTCCACCCCCCCTTTTTCCCCATCACACACACATGCACACACACGTACACGTGTACACACATGCACACAAATGTACATGCACACACATACACATATACACACGCACACACAGACACACACAGGCATGGACACATACGCACGCACACAGGAACATGCACACATATGCACACATACACTTGTCCATGCACACACAGACACACCCATGTGTACACTCACACCCACATGCATGCACACACATGCATGAATACACACATGCACACGTACAGACACGCACGCACACACACATGAACACACAAGCGCTCATACACACAACACAGACCTTCTGTGCCTCTGTATGCCCATGAGCCCAGCATGGTCCCTGCCAGGCCAGGAGCCTGCAGTGCTGTTTCGGTGGCCGGGAGAGGGATGCTGTCTCCTGTACTGAGCCTGGCCAGCCTGCGCTGACAGCCTCTGAGGCCGCATGGCCGGGGCTGCCGACATTGATCAGTGAGGTCTGGCGTGACTGTGCAGGGGCGTTGGCTGCGGCTGCCTGGCCAGTCACCCCGGAGCAGTTTCTGGGTGCAGGTGGTGGGCATCAGGGATGGGTCCAGTCCAGAGTTTCTCGTGGTTGTGGGACATGAAGGCCTGAGTGGAAGAAGCCTGGATGGGCCTCCTGATGCAGCAACTCCTGTGCTGCTGAGCCGCCACCCCGGAGGGCAGGGACGCGCCAGAGGGGCGGCGAGGGGCTCCCACTTCCTCCTTTGCCATCTGCCTCCGAGAGGTGCAGCCCTGGGACGTGCCTGTGTCACCCGCGGGTGGCCCTGGGTTTCGTCTCCTGACACTCCTGACACCCCCAAAACAAGAGCCTGTACACACCCCCCACACCCAGCTTGGGGGTGGGGCACTGGTGTATCCAGGGGCCACCCTGCAGGGCGGGATGCCGGCAGGCATGGCAGCAGTCGGGTGCTAGCAGGGGCGCTGGCCAAGGGCAGGAGTCCAGCGCGGCCTCAGAGGGCGGCACCCTCACCAGCACGCCTCACGCTAACACGTATTAACACACACGCTAACACCAACACACTCTGCTGCCACACACAGTAACACAGGTGCGCACGCACCCACACCCACACCCCTCCACACCCACAGCCCATCTCCCTCCCAGAACTTACAGACCCAGAGAAACTTCTTTTCCCAAGTATTTTCCTTTTTTCCTGGACAAGGACATCGATATAGTTGAATCATGGGCCGACAGTAATTAAAAAGCACATAACTAGTCATTTGAAAACGCAGTTGTTTTACTTAATTGATTTTGCTGCTCGCCCCGGAGGGCATGAGGGGGGCAGCAAGGGGAGCCTCAGAAGGGGTCCGAGAGCCGCCGAGAGCCCTGCCTGGCGCGGGTGGGCGGCTGCAGCCCGGCTTTCCTGTTCTAAACCCGCCCAATGGGCTGGGGGCTGGCTCTTGTTTCCGCTGCATGGGGGGTGGGGGTGGGGGATGGGGATGGGGGTTCTCCTGCTTGGAGGACGGGCCTGTTTTTCCGTCCTTGTCAGCAGAAAGTCCCTTCACTGCACACGGTGATGCTGGGCTCCATTCGGAGATGCTCTGCTCATATTTGATTACCGGCTGCGGCTCCTCTCTTTAATTACCTTCTTCATAAGCCAGCTCGAAGCGTCAGTGGCAGTCAGTTTCCGAGGGTGTGTGTGTGTGTGTGTGTGTGTGTGTGTGTGTGTATGTGAGCATGTGAGTGAGGAGCACAGGAGGGTGTGGGTATGTGACTGGCCTCTTGAAGGGGATGGGTGGCTGCCAGGGCACCATGGGTGGGTAACTGCAGCTGGATTAGGGATCCGCGCAGCTCACCGCCTGGCCCCCTGGCTAGTGGCGCAGGTTCCCTGGGGGACGCCGGCTGCTGGGGGAAGCCCCTCTCCTGCTCCCTGGGAGTGTGGCACCTGGCTTCCTTTCACCCCAGAGGTTGGTGGGGCCCTTGGGCATTTCCTTTCTCTCCCTCTCCTCAGCCTTGGCTGCTGTGCTCTCCGCACTGCCCCCTGGGCACCCTGCTGGCCTCTACTCCCCAGCTCTGCTGCTCTCTGCAGGGAGCCAGCCCTCTGGGGAGTGGGGACCGGAAGTGCAGTCTGATGACCGCTAGCCAAGGTGGTGGGGCCCTTTTAGCTCCCTGGAAGAGTTGATCTAGCTCCCTAGCACGGCTCTGAAAAGCATTCTTCTCACAGCTCCTTCTGGAAGCCCCTGCAGCCTCCAAAGGACTTGGTGTTGATCTCATTGTGGAGCGACTGGGAATGCTACAGAAACTCTTCCTTCTGTGCCTGGATTTCTGTCCCAGCCAGGAGGTGGGGTGGAGTTAGAAGTTGCGTTTATGGTGGTGTGGACCCCCCTGCCCATATCCCAACTGGTTACCCAAGAATATGCAATATTGGTGAGCAGTCCTTCAGTTGCAGATGACAGGAAACAATCCAGACTGACTTTAACAAGTAAAGGAATTATAGGGAGGTCGTTCAGACATGGCTTGATCTCAACATTGTGACCTCTTTCTCTCCTCTCTCTCCTCTCTCTCCCCCTCTCTTTTTTTTTCTCTCTCTCTTTCTCTGCTGTGGGGCTAGGTTCAAGTTTCAGCTTCAGGTTGAGCAGAAACAATTCCTTCTCCTGTGATTCCCCAAAGTGAAACAACTGTAAGGGCAAGGGTAGGAGAGTTAGTACAGGGATTAAGGGGCTTGTCCTGTATGTGGGCAACACTGGTTTGATCCCTGGCAGTATATATGGTCCCATGAGCATGCCAGGAATGAGCACAGAAGTAGCCTCCGAGCATCACTGGGTGTGGCCCCAACAAACCCCCCCGCTTCCACGCCTCTCACCCCCCAAAGTCAGGCATTTGTATCTCATTAGACCAGTTGGGTCACACCTCTGTCTTTGAGGGAATCAAAGACAGAGGGATGTGTGTGTGTGTGTGTGTGTGTGTGTGTGTGTGTGTACGTGTGTGTTCAGGGTTCACTGCTGGCCCTGTGCTCAGTGTTCTCTTGGCAGTGCTCAGAGGACCATCTGTGGTGCTGGGGATCGAACCCAGAGGCCATGGGCAAGGCTAGTGCCCAGTACTATCACTCTGACCCTGTTTCTGGCATTTTGGTGGGCCAGGCTAGGGCCTCATGGTGGTGGGAGGGATCTATCCTTCCCATGACTTACGCTTTCCCGTCTGAGTCCTTTGAATTAGGAGTTTGCAAGGAGGAAAGGCCAGAGGATTTCCAGGGAAGTTGGAGTTGTGGCAGGGACAGTGGAATCAGCTCTTCCCCAAGTCTCTAGCAGCGACTCACCCCAGCCCTGTTCTGGGTTCAGGGTCGGCAGCACCCAACGCACAGAACTCTGTGCCCACTTGGCGCCGCTGTTCCCGAGGGTCCAGGAGTCCTGGGGCTACGTTCTCCTGCCTCTTCCCAGGTCCAGCGGAAAGGGCGTGTGCCCAGGGACACGGGGGTGGGGTCGAATGGTGCAGAAGCTGTCCCCCCAGGGAGCCCAGAGCTCAGAGAGAGAGAGAGAGAGAGAGAGAGAGAGAGAGAGAGAAAGAGAGAGAAAGGCCGTGTGCCATTGTGGGAAAGGAGTGTTGGTGTGGGGAGGGGCACGGGGCCATTCAGCCAGGAAGGAGGACATGGGACCCGGCTGCTTCCTTCTGGGCAGGGACACAGAGCCCTGCCGTGCTGCCTAGGCTGCGGCCCGCGAAGGGTGTTGATAAATGAGATGGAATTTAGGTGGAAGCTGCAAAAATGACGACAGGGCTGGGGGGAGTGATTTATGGGATGTGATTAGCCGAGCGGTGGCCGCCAGCCACGCACACCCGGGCGGGGGTCACGTGACCATGGAAAGGAGGAGCGGCCAGAGAGGGGCAGCCAAGGGGGGCAAAAGGAGGAAGTGGGGGGACAGGGGAGTAGAGGCCCGTGAACCAGTGAACCCTGCGTGAATGTATGTGTATTTGCATGAGAGAGAGAGAGAGAGAGAGAGAGAGAGAGAGAGAGAGAGAGAGAATGTGTGTGTGTGTGTGTGTGTGTGTGTGTCAGTCTGCATCCTGGGGCTTTTGGAAACGTTGGGGTGAGAATCTCAGCCTTGGCCAGTCTTGTTAAAGGCAGCTGAGGGCCTCCTCATCTGCTGGACGCTAGCTGGACCCCACAGGTGTGGCTACTTGAGTGACAAAGCGTCTCTGCTGGGCGTGGTGGGTGTGTGGCATTTCAGGAGGGTGGGACAAGAGCATGAGAAGAGCAAGGTACGCTGGCTGTTTCTCAGGGGAAGCAAGCAAAGCCTGGCAGGGTGGTGGGGGTCTCTACGGGCCTCCTCTCGGGTGAGGCCGGGGCCAGGGTGGGGCTTGGGATTCTTCACCAAGGCCGCTGTTGCTGAGCGGGAATGAGGGAGCGGAAGGTCTTGGCATTCAGAGCCGGCAGCCCGAGCTCCTGGACTCTGCAGGTGCAGAAAGGGACGTGCTTATGTGAGCACCTGAGACACGTCTGCCCGTGAGCCCCTTGCACACTCGCACTGCCTGGTTGCGAGCCTTTAGGGGGCTCCGCCTTGGGATTCGCTCGCTTGCTCTGACGTGGAGGGGCTTGAGGCCCGCCTGGGCATCCACACATATCCCCTCAGATGCCCTTGAATCTCCAAGGCTGCAGGGGCCAGTTGAAAGGGGGATGTGTCCAGCTAAGGAAGCCAAAAATCGCCCCCCCCCCCCGCCGGTGCGCCTGGGACCATCCTCCCGGCTCCTCCCTGCCCGTCTATGCTGCCATCTCAGCTGCTCTGTCCCCTCTCTGCTCTCCACAGATCCACGATTTGTTCGTGAGCTTCGATGACACCCCGCTGGGGGCGGCCTCGCTGGCACAGGTCCACAAGGCGGTGATGCATGATGGGCGGACGGTGGCCGTGAAAGTGCAGCACCCGAAGGTGCAGACGCAGAGCCTGACGGACATCCTGTTGATGGAGGTGAGCGCCTTCCCCATCCCGGGCTGTAAGGGATTCCAAGGGACGTTCGTTGTGGCATGAGTGACCCAGCAGGGGTGGGCAGTGGACGCTGGGTGTGGGGCCGGTTGGGGCCGCGTTGCATGTCCGAGGGGAGCTGGGTACCACTGCTGTGCTCTGCTCCCATGTAGGACCCCCGGAGAATGCCACTCAGGAGTGTCACGGTCAGACGCGCGTCAGAATCCGTCTGCGGGCTGAAGGCCTGCCACTGTGGGCTCATGGCGGGCTCTTTGCTTCGGTCTGAGGGAGGGATAATGATGTCGGGGCCCAGAATACACCTGGGGGGTGCTCAGGGAAGGGCTGGGCCTGAGGGGGCTGCCTGGAACCCAAGACCCGCCTCAAGGGGGCTTGGCACCCGGTGCCAGCCGACGTTGGGAGCTTTCCGTGGGGCTGTGCCCACAACGTGGCAGCCAGGGTCGAAGCACAGGTGTCCAGGGAGAGCGATGGGAATCCACCGCAGGTTTAGGGCGGCCTTGGGGCCCTGGCACCGAGACCTCCTGCTGACTGCGGTAGGGGAGCCCACCCCTCGGGGCAGGAGTAGATTGGAGCCCTTGGAGCACACAGAGCCACCAGTACTTTGCGGTAGGAGAGTGAGTTTGTAATGCTGAAAGGAATATGTAGGGTTTAGAAATGGGGGCTCTGGGAATGAGGGGGAGTGAGGGAGGGGGAGAGAGAGAGAGACAGAGACACAGACAGAGACACAGAGACACAGAGAGAGAGACACAGAGAGAGAGAGAGAGAGAGAGAGAGAGAGAGAGAGAGAGAGAGAGAAGGGGGAGGAGAAAGGGAATTGAGGTGGCAGTCCTGAATAGAATATCCTTCTCTTTTCCCTGATGGGGACTTTGGGTAGTGGTTAGAGTGGAGCCCAGGGTCAGAGCGGAGAGGGGGACACCGGGGTGGTCCTGTGCCGGGCCAGCGAGACTGAGCGAGTGGGTGGGGGTCCAGGGGGGAGAAGTGCGGGGGGGCGGGCCCAGCAGGAGGGCTTGGGTTCCGGGGGAGGGAGGACCCCCGGTGGGTGTCAGGCCTTGACCAGCCTTTCTTTGGAGTGTGGGGGAAGGAGGTAAGGCTTGGGGAGTGTGGGGGGCAGTGGGGGGGAGATAGGGGGAGGGAGAGTGGGCAGCTGTGTCCTACCAGCCTGATCGCCTCTATTTTTTCTCTGAAGTAGGAGGCAGGCCCATCTGCCGAGAGAGAGTGAGGGGGTAGGAGGTGGTACCGGAGGCTGGTGGGGGTGGGGCGAGGGTTTGGAGTTGCTGCTGTCTGCGGTGGGAAGGGACTCAGGCCAGACCTCCAGCCGGCAGCCAGCGCTCTTAGGACCTCTGGCTGAGTCTGGGCATGCGTGTGCACCCGAAGTCTCAGAGATGGGGGAGCCTTTCTCTGCCCAGCCCCTGCTTGCAGGACCTCCGGGCCCGACAGCTGACCCCCAGGTGGCCTCCAGGTCCCCAGCAGTGATTGCCATAACCAGGACTTGGCTTTTTCTGGGTGGGTCAGTCTGTGGCTGCAGGCAGAGTCCGCAGTGGCTTCTTGGCAGTGGATCAGGCAGAGCTGGGGCGGGGGCGGCTCCGAGCAGAGACCTGCGTTCACGGCCTTCAGGAGGAGCCCTGGAAGGAGCTAGGGTGCTCCCCCTCTGTGGGCTCTCTGCATGAACAGCTGCGTGAACAGGGGTGGCACTGTCTTCTGGGAGCGGGAGCATGGATGTCCTGTCCCCAGGGCCACCTGGCTTCCTATGCTACCTGGCCTCCCAGTCTACTGGTTTACCTGCTTGACCTGGTCTCTCTGGTTCGCCTGGCCTCCTGGTCTCCAGTCTGCCTGCTCGACCTGATCTCCTTAGTGTGTGTTCATAAAATGAATAAGAAGCCCACGGCTGTCTCTCGCCACCTGCATATGGTGGTCTCGGGTGCTTCTATACCTGGGTTGGTCGATGCCAAAGGCAGACGAAGGAGAAAACGAGGGCCAGGCTGGTTGGTGATCAGTTGCCGTTCATTCCATTCTCCCCACGCGCCTGTTCCAGTCTCACTAAGCTCCTCATTCCTGTCTCCTTCTGTCCCCCTTGCTAGTCTCTCTGCACTCCCTTGTTAGTCTGCCTGTGCTCTGATTCTTCTCTCTAGTCTTGCTCACACTCCAAACCTTGGTGGTAGCAACCACACTCAGGTCCTGTAGCACAATCAACAGATGAAAGCCCTTCCTGCAGCCAGGAGATCAAGTCAAGGGTGAAATGCCATCGAAGGTTTTTTCCTTCTTTCCTTAATTCAATAACCATTTAAACATTCATTTTAATTCTACTTTTTGTTTGTTTGGTTTGTTTTGAGGTCATACTCTGCGATGCACAGGGGTTACTCCTGTACTCAGGAATTACTCCTGGCGGTACTTGAGGGACCATATGGGATGCTGGGAATCGAACCCTGGTTGGCTGCATGCAAGTCTAACGCCCTACCCGCTCTGCTATCGCTCCAGTCCCCAATTCTACCTTTTAATATTAGTCATTTTGTATGGACACAGTAAAAGATACATTAAGCTTATAGGGTAGCTCTCCTGGGGACATCTCGTTATAGATCCCAGACTACAGTGCTCAGGCCAGATTAGTCTTTCCTAACTCTCGCAGGGTCCAAATCTAGTTGTTACTTTTTGGATCATGGCAGAATTTGTCCATGACCATGCTCTTATAGTTTAGTATTATGGTCCTTGGTCTTGCCCATTTCAATGCCCTGGGTTCATCCAGTCCCTCGTCGGGACCCTGCTTTTGGGGTGCTAGGAAGTAAGGGCAACTGAGGCTTAAGTCGAGAAAAAGACGCCCAGGAGTGAATATTACTCTGAGTCAATTAACTCCCAAGTTACAAAAGCATAGCATTAACTGTCTTTTTGTGTCTATACAAAAAAGGACACTCCTCTGAATTAACTATGCAAAGGACATAAGGAGAAGAGAAAAGCAGTATTTACTAGTTAACAGAGTCTCATTAGGAGATAAAGCTGATTGACCAGTTGAGGAAGCAGAGCACAAAGAATAAGGTAAACACAGAGGAGTACCGTGAAAGAGAGTAACCCAATAAACCTAAGCTCCCTTGTGGCAAGGCAGAAGGGAAAAACCAATGTTATCCTACACCTAGTCTACCTGCTCTGCCTGGTCTCCTGTTTACCTGGTCTTCCTCTCCTGCTCTCTGGGTTTTCTGGTCTGCCTAGTCTCCATCCTCCCTTTTCTGATCCATAACTAGTAACCCAACTGGGAAAGCTCAGAGTTCATATTTTTTTTTCTTTTTGGGTCACACGCGGTGATGCTCAGGGGTTACTCCTGGCTCTGCCAGGAATCACTCCTGGTGGTGCTCAGGGGTGGAATGCCCGGAATTGAACCCGGGTCGGCCGCATGCAAGGCAAACACCCTACCTGCTGTGCTATTGCTCAGATAGCACAGACAGCCCCTCAGAGTTCATATTTGAAATGTATTTTTCTTTCCATTTTTTTCTTTTTTAGTCTAGACTTACCTGAAGGTGGCTTGGTTTTAGGAATAACAGCCCCAAAAGAGTGCCCAGGCCTGGTTGGCAGGAAAAGAACAATTTTGTGGGGGTGTTGGTATTACCACATCTACCATAAGCTTGGAGACAGAGGGAGGGAAAGCCACTTTCTTCATGGCCTGCAGTGCTGCTGTCCATGCCTGTTCCAGGTAGTGATGACCCCAGGCTCCCCCACTGCCCACTCTGCCTCTTTCCTCTCTGACCCTGCCGGTGGGCACAGCATGGGCTTGTGAGGAAGATAGTTTGGTTGGAATAATTTATATCAAGGAGAGAGTGACCAATAGATTTCACCTCAGGGTAGTTGCAGCTTAAGAGGCGTTTGTCGAAGAGCAGGAGAACTGTTCCTTAGTGGGAAGTTTGCCACTTGGTGTGGGGTGGGTAGAGGGAGGTGGATTAGGTCAGGGAAGGAACCACAGTGACGGTGATAGAGGGAAGTGGTCACTTTCGACCAGGATAAGATGCTGCGGGCGGGGGGGTGGGTTAAAGTGGGATGCATGATACTCTCTCAGTAATAGTATGGTAAAGCAAAGTGTCCAAAAGTGGGTGGACAGTCACTGTCACTGTCACTGTCACTGTTCTCTCGTTGTTCATCGATTTGCTCGAGTGGGCCCAGTAGCGTCTCCATTGTGACACTTGTTACTGTGTTTGGCATATCTAATACATCACGGGGAGCTTGCCAGGCTCTGCCGTGCGGGCGAGATACTCTCAGTAGCTTGTTGGGCTCTCCGAGGGGGCGGAGGAATCGAACTTGGGTAGGCCATGTTGGCCGCTTGCAAGGCAAACGCCCTACCCGCTGTGCTATCACTTGGGGGGTGGAAGGAAAAAAAGAAAAAGAAAATATTGTCTGGTAGGCTGGGGGATGGGAGGGAAACTGGAGACATTGGTGTAGGGAGAGATGTTGGAACATTGCCTGAGACTCAGTCATGAATAACTTTGTAAGTCATGGTGATTCAGTAATAAAAAAGAGGCATATGTAAGGCCAGACACTTACCCGCTGTAGACCAGTGGGAGACTTTTGAGGGTGAGCAGGCATGAACTATTTATTTTGAGGGGAACTAGGTAATATTTAATGAAACTACATAGTCATACATACGGTGACACAGAAAACATTCTTCTAAGAGTGAATAATTCCGTCAGGAGTCCTAAAGAACCACTTGTGGCTGTATGAATATTTTTTAACTTTATTTAAACACCACCGTTTATAAAGTGATTCATAATATAGTTGCTTCGGGCATTCCAGCAGCAATCCCCCAACTAGTGTGACCTCCCCTCCACCATTCTCCCCGGTTTCCTACCCTCCATCCCCTGCCCCCAAGCCTTAGCAGGCACAAAACAGTTCATTTAATGTTGCTTGTTACAACAAAATGGCAAGTGGAATTATAAAAAAAAAAAAGTTTAGTAAAAGGAAATGTGTGGAAATTGTGATATCTCACAATGGTGTTATTAGGGTCCCTGTCTGAG